AATAAAAGAAAATAACAAAGAGCATGTCTGACAAAATACCCATCTTTGCCAATAAGGGAGCAACAGTAACTACCAAATTCTTCCTGGCACTGTGACATGATATCTCTCCAACATTACAGTATGTATCCTCATGTGGTGACTCCCAAAGCCAACAGTGAGAGGAGGGAGCTGTGACAGTGCAGCATGAGTAGACCTCCAGAGCTGAGCAGTCAGTCAATGGATGATTCCCTAGTCAAATGCCCGAGCAGTATCCTGGTTTCAATGGCTGCACAAGCCTGATTTATTGTATGTGGTTACCCAGACCCTACCGCACCTCATAGCATCGCCTACATTGCTGCGTACACACACACTCACTCATGCATAAGATTTCAACTCCGTGCACGTGTTAGAGCCTGATAAATGGACAGAAACAAAACACGATAGCACTAACAAGACGATACAGATAGTATTTATGTGTATATGGTTTAAGTTTGAGTTTTAACAGTGGTGTGTGTGTGTGTGTGTTGGCTGCACAGTCTCTTTACCCACTACAGTTTGGACCTTATTGTTCATATGAGTAGCACTTAATGTAGACCCCATTTGCTTGGAACCTTTCCACTCTTTACTTTCCTACAGCTCTCCATCTCTCTCCGTCACAGTGAGTACTCTCCTTTGTAGAAGTGTGCGTGTGTGTGCCCGCGCGTGTGTGTTAGCGCACTTAGCATAGAGCCCTCTGGTTTCCCTTCATTTCCATATAATTAGATTGTGTGTGAAAGGCTACTTCCAGTGCATTGATTAAGTGTCAGAGGAGAGGAGACAAGCATCTCTGGGCAGAAGAGGGACAGGAGGGGCCACGGCACTACAACAACCTGTCACACACACACATGCATACAAAGCCCCTCCTCTTCTATCGCTGTTAGAGAGATGATGTCCTGGCTACTGAAAAAGGCACTAACAAAAGCATATGAAAGTGTGTTTGTAATAATGACCCATATTGTGTACAGAATTACATTGCCCCTAAATGCTCTCTTTCTCCTTTTTGTTTTGTGGGACAGAATCGGGGCAGACAGTCTTAGCCTTGTGTTTTCTCGGAGTAACCCCCCTTGGCTTAATTTATGTTTTGCTGTGGCTGAGTCTGACTTGGGTGTTATACGAGCATCCGCTAGCCTGCCCTATAAAGGACAAAACTAACGGGCTGGGCTGAGCTGAGCTTGGCTGGGCTAATGGATTGCAGTCTTTCCATAACTGCAGCTCTACTGTACCTCGAGCCAAGTTCCAGAGGACTAGTGAAAAAACCCTTCTTACAGATCTTTCTTGTTCATATTTTTTTTCTTTTTCCTGCATTTCTATCTTATGTGATCATTTCAGGCTGAGAAAACTGGTATTATCACGCTAGTTTGACTTCACTCCTTAGAACTTTGGTGAGTCAGGAATTTAAAGTTATTGCACAAATGCGCTCCTTGTCAGTCACTGTGGAGTGATATAACTCATTAGTGAGATTTAGGTGGTGAGGATGTTGAGAATTCAGCATGCAGCTAACTTTGAATGAAACACAAAGGACTGAGGTCAATCCAGGTCAATCAGAGTTTTGTTGGTGCCAAATTGAAAGGGTTTCCACGCATATTCAGTGCTGCCATGCTTTCACAATAGGAGCTAGAGACTTCTACTTTTGGACTGTAAGCAGGTGTACTGGAGTAGGACAGGGAAAAGGCCTTGCCAAAAAGCTCCTCAGTGGTAGATGTTCAGTTAACTTTATTATCACTGAGCAAACTGTTTTACTCGTTGGCAGCAATTTTGGTCCAAAGGTATGGCTAGAAAATAGGTCAAAGTGGCACCAAAATCATTAGGATTTTTCCCGTAGCGTTAGTTCAGGCAGAGTACTGAAGTCATCCTTGCGTCAGCTGATTGCCATCACTTGCTTTGTTTATGTTTCAACATCACATGCTCATTCATTTGATGTTTGGCTGCCAAATAACTTATGTCCAGTCATTTATGTATTTTCAGGGACAATGCATATTGATCACTGTAAATGTGCCAGTGTTAACCAAAAGGCTAATTTCCAACTGTTGTCCCTTGGCCAGATGTTAAATTAGATTATATCCATGGAGGCATACAGTGTGGCTTTTGTAACCTGATAAATCTCACAATTGCACTCATGCCAACACTGACTGCCACCAGTCCCTACACACCAACCTCAGACTCCTTCTTGCTGCTTGAAGCAAAGGGGATTCTGGTGCTTGGAGAGGCTTCTTAAAGAGCGTAGCCCTTTCCACCATATCTAGCTGTACCATTTGCTATAAATTGTCTAATCCGTTTTGGGGCATTGTATGCCTTTTATCAAATGGCTTACAACAGAGGCATGGCAGGTAATGAGGGGGGAGAGAGATTTGGGATAACAAATAGGTAATGAAAGTTAGTTATTACTGGGAGATTTTGGCCTTTACGATGGGTGGCACTAGACGAAAGATAAGAGGGGTCCCTACAATCACTAGCAATCATCATTTAGAGAAAACAAGTATCCATATTAAGATTTAGGTTAATGACAATCTTGCCAGAAATTATCAAGAGACCTTGCTCTGGAAGTGTAGGACAGTTGGAAGGATGACCAACTGACGGACTTAAACCCCCTAAAATCACCACCCTCAGCATACCCTAGCACCCAGCACCAGAAGCGTGTGCTTTTATGGAATTGTAGTAGGCTAATTGTTTGTGTCATGCTGATTTTTGGCTGGAGGTCTTTCTCTACCACCTTTTTGTCCCGTTGGATACCTGCTTATAACACCAGGTTTGATGGAGCGCAAACTGGATTGGACTTGGCAAGTCAAGTGGGGCTCCCTAAAGCCCCAGCTGAGTTTGGATAACAATCCCATCCATGCACACACAACTGTACTGTAGCTGCTCTCTGTGCTAAGTGCTAATTAGCAGAACAAAGCATCTGTTGTTCTTTTAAACACACGACAGTTAAATATTTCATCTCTCCGCCTGTCTCCACCAATCCTCAGCTCCGCTGGAGGAGCAAGAGGAGGCAAGCTGACAGCATGCACACATACACACGCACACGCGCACATGCGCGCACACACACACACACACACACGCTGTAAATGTACACATGTATGCACAAAAATGAATGTACAAGCATACACAAAAATAGACATGCTGAGACACACGCACTTACATACACGCATGCACCGCCTGCGCTCTCATGTGAGCTGACAGCAGCATCAGCATAATGTGCCATATTAAAGTGATCAGGACCTTTACTATAAACACCCTTCCCTCTTAGAGAGAAGGCTAGAGGCAGAGAGCTGGAGGTTTGGTCTGAGAGAGACAGGGCCAATGGCTAAGTGCTTATTACCCTGCCTCCCATGATACTTACAAATATACACTTTGTTCTTCCACTGTCTGAGGTAGGGAAGAGGGGACGATTAAGAGAAAGAGGGAAAGATCACAACTTGGAGAGAAAGGAAAGATTAAGTGAGTCAAATGATTTGAGATAGGAAAAAGACCTATCTGATGCTCTCTCTTTCCCACCCTCGCCTTTTTCCTCTATGTCTCCCCTCCTTTTCCTCCCTCCATCTCAGTCTCTCGTGGCTCGAAGGAGGAGTGTGGGGGCAGAGCACTCTTGTCTTGTTAAACGGCTGGCAGATGACAAAAAAATTAGAGGCATTTCGCTCTTGACAGGTTGTTGTGTGTACACGTTTTTTCCCCTTTTTTATTTTTATTTTTTTCTGCTTCAAATGTTTTTTGTCAGTTTGTTTTCAGTCAAGCTGTCTCGGCAGAACAATAAGTGCAACCGGTACACACACACACACACACACACACACACATTCCTGTACGTGCCTCATAGTGAGGTCCAGGTTAATTAACTGCTGGAGTGAGGACCACCCTTTCTACTATACTTAGAGACAAATGCATGATAGATTCCAACACTGGGTGGCACCTTGATGCCAGTTTCCACCTCAGTTCCTTAAAAAACATGAAGGAAATTTTTAATTTTTTTAACCCAGTTTACCACTGGAGTGGGGACCTTTTCAAGGGGGCGCTATTGAGTTCGTTTCAGAATGGACTAGTTTAACTACCTTCTATTTTTAGCATTAAATTTAATAATTTTAATGTTCTAGTATAACACATTATGTAAAAATAAGTCAGTATGGACATTTTTAAAAAGAATTGCCCAGTCTGAGATTCATAGATAAGCAGAATACCTAAATTTATGGAGGTGACCATCGATTTGACTGCTGTACAAACATACATACTTACTGGTCAATTACTGCTTTACTAAAGTAAATATAACTTGAACAATCCACATAAACAACTTTCAACAAAGCTGCAGGGATATAAAAGAAATCCATTTTATTTATTCATTTAGCTGAAGCTTTTATCCAAAGTGACTTACAATTGCTATACATGTCGGAGGTCGGAGGTCGCACGCCTCTGGAGCAATTAGGGTTAAGTGTCTTACTCAGGGACACAGTGGATGGGTCACAGTGGGGGATTGAAGTGCGCTATCACCACCCCCAAATCCATTGTTTATTAAGCATAAACAGAAATAAATTATTCCAGAAACAAACTATTGCCTCTTGTACAACTCAAAAAATACAGTAAAGTGTACTGTATCATAACTACTATTAATTCACCAATTAAAGTGAGGGCCAATATGAAGAAAATTGATATTATCAGACAATCAATTGAAAACAAGGAACACTGTCTTGCAAAGTACAATGAAAACAAAATAATCCTTTGAATTTTTTACAACTGGTTTTGAGTTTTAGGAACGCTGAACACTAGCTTATTGTGGCTAGTCTTGCCTTTTTACAGTACATCATCTGACACTATATGGTCCAGGATAGATTAATTTCAGATTATTATCAATCAGTAGTTCAGTAGGAGACTGTAAATGGCAAAAACATTTGGCTTTTGAATACTTAAGAATACGTGAAGCGCCGCTTTGTCTAAGGGTCACAATTGTGTTGTACACAAAGTTTGACATCTTTCCATGACCCTTGAGCCAAGGCCTTTTCTCCAGGCACTCTACATCGCAGTTCTCTCTACCTCACTCCATGCTCTCTTGCTCTCTCATGTTTGACTTTGTTCTTCTGTGGAAGCCTGGGGGTCTCATCTACAACAGGAACAGACAAACATCATTTCCTATTAGTCGATGAAACCTCAGGTATAATGGATTTTTAAAAGTGCTTTAATTAAATGTGACAACCAAGAACTGACAGATGATTGCAACTCTCTTACCATGGGACAAAAAAGGTTAATTGTTAAAGGTCACAAAAACACATTTAATATTTACCATCATCAGTGTTAGGGCAGTAACGCTTTACTGTAATAATATTACTTTTCCCTGTAACTAGTAGTGTAATTGTAAAGTGAAGTGTAGTTACTTTTCTAAAAAACTCGTTACTAAACGCACCATCCTTGACATGAATCCACGACTGTGCGGCAGCTCAGCGGTACCGTATGTAAAGACCATAGCATACTCGCTGTTGTGAATACGATATTAGTTAATAACTCGGGAGAGATGCTTTGTTTGGGGGCAAAGGCAGGGTGGTAGTGAAAGCAGTGTTTCCCATAATTAGCCTATAATTTGGTTAATTGTCAACGCTGACCACCACATTAATTAAAAATTTTTTTACTAGGCATATTTAAAATCATGTTTGACCGAGGAGCTGTATTGAGGAGCAAATATTCGTGCAGCACCTCCTGGCTCGCGCTCTCTTTCTCTCTCGTGAACACCGCTGCACAAACTTGTCCAAAGTCTGTGTTCGGTCCCGTTCATACAGTGTTTACTGGGAGGCTGCTGAGCGCGGTGTCGTTGCACGCTTGGCTCCTGTTCTGGTGCCCAAACCAGCGCCGCTTGCTGAGGCCTAAAACCTCCAGTGCCTGAGTAGAGGTGTAACGTTAAACACAAAACACTCCCAGGTGCTGCGAGCTCCCAGTCCGGGCTGAGTCAGCTACGACCACTAGGCTAACTGAGCTTATAAGATCACAGCAGCTACTTAATGGCACTTAGCAGTTACTTTAGCAACAAGTAACACATCTGTTCATCAGCAACCTCCGTAAATCACAGAGAGTTGAGACAGAGTAGCTGGGGGACACGGGGAACTTTAATGTTATTTTATGAGGCCCAACAGTTACTGTGTTGCCTTAGTAGACAGCAGAGGACGCAGACAGAACTAAATAGATTGTGATCTGTAGCACGACAGTAATGATCTCTCTGAAAAGATAGATCGTGGAGACATTTTAATCGTCCACAATCTAATATTGCCCACCCAGTAATAAGTAAAGTAATACTTTAAAGGAGTAATAACTAGTAATATATAATAATTTCTGAGTAACTTGCCCAACACTGACCATCATAAATTAGAAAAGAGTTACAAACAAACACTCAAACAAAAGTACACATAGACTTACAGTAAGAGTAAAGTAGTACTCTACTTGTCTTTTGACTGAGTTAAAGTATGAAACAAAGGCAGGAGTTTTTGTATATTTCATAATTAAAGCAATTTAACTCACCATCAGTGAGTTCTCCTTATCTCTAACTCAGCGCAGGGGTCAGAACCTCCATCTGAAAAACAAGAGCATACAAAAAGTAACACCTCATACTATATAGTGTGGGTAAGGCTGCATCCTTCTGTATTTGTTAACTGTTAGAGAGTTGAAAAGTGTTTCAGGTTTTAAATGGACAGCATCCTTACTGCCAAAAACATATTATCCACTGGTCTTCCTCTCTTCACTGTGTGTGGGGTGGAGGTGAAAGTGAGACTTTCACCTGTGAAAAACAGCAACAGTCATTTATTATTACTCTGTGCTCTAATAAAAACCCAAGTTGCAGAGTACAAAGACTGCCGGTGAATAAAAGGAGTTTTAAAATGACTTGTCTTGACCTTCCAATGTTACTGGCCTGTATGGATCAGTTACACCATTTTCACTATACTAAAACTAGAGCAATTACACACCCAATACCTCCTTTGCGAGCATTTTCTTTCCTTTCTTCATTTTCTTTTTGTTAAACATATTTCACATACTTGTTAGTGTTGTTTAGATTTTTTTATATAACACTCGGCTAATTTTGTTAGGCCTTTTTTAAATAATGACTGCACATACAGTATAAACACCGTCCGTGGAAATTGTGGTACTGACAGAGGATTAATCAGATAATTGCACACTAATAATTATACGAGGACTGAATATCAACTGCTCTTCTAAAGGTGTAACTGTTTCTACAGTGTATATATTCGCGCAACATCTCTCGCTCACTCTCTCCGTCTCTCATGAACAGCGCTGCACAAATCTCTCCAACACAAAGCTGTCAATGTCAGAGACCCACCTTAGTTGGTATAGGGAATTAAACCTGAACGTGTCACTTACAATCGATGCCGTAGCGGTGAGAGTCGAGCTTTCAGTACAACGTAAACAAAGAAAGCAGCATGTAACCTTTCAGACCCACCGCACAGAAAGAGGCCCATTATTTCAGCGACTTGCGCCGCGCTAGGGCACTTTGTTGCTGTGTAGAGGATCGCGCACCGCACGCCATGCCGCAGTCGAAGTACTTTTGTGCTGAACCCAGCGCAAATCGCTTCTTTTCTGAAAGGTTCTTTATGGAAGAACATAGTCCTTTCAATACCTTCCGTCACTGAACATTTAACGTTACATCTGTGTTGAAAAAATGTTGCCAGGTGTAAAACACTACATAACATCAGGAGCTTTTAGACTTTCAGGACTGTAGGCTACCAATTACCTGCATTTCAGTTATTAATAACACTGCATGAATGATGTCTAGATGAGAGTTGATGACAACAATTCAGTTTATTTCCCTCTTATTAACAGTTTCCCCTGGGGAATAAATGAAGTTAATATTCCTCTTATAGTAATAATACTTACATATTATAGAAACACAATTGTTAATGTAATTTAATATTAAAAATCAACTTAAGTTATTACTAGTGAAAATTAATGCATAATCGTGAAACCGTGATTATTTCTCTGACAATAATCTGTAATCGTTGCATCCCTATTGATGATAGGGCTGGGAAATCTGTCACAATTTAGGGTGCTATGATTACATAACAATAATAATTCCCAATGTATCTTTGTGGGTATAAAATTTTTGTTCCATAGAATTACTTTATGAATGACCACATTCATAACAACCTAATCATTAAAACCAATATAATAATCACTTATTTCCATTTGCTTTATTAATACAATCAAAGTACACAAACTGACAAGTATGTAACTGAATTGAATCTTGACTAATAAACTGTTGACATCTTTGAACAGACTCCACTTATTTTTCAGTAGGTCGTTTACTTGTCATCCACTCTCAACGTTTTACCCACATTACGACTGTCGCAGCAAGAACTGCATGGTATCTACAACTTTGCAAGTTGACAAGGCACAGCAACAAACTGACTGCAGTCCCACTGACATCTTGCTCTCAGGATTGGCCAAAAAGTTGCAGTCTCTGCCTGGGACTCTACTTTCATTTAAAAAAGAAATCTGCCATCAACTTTTGTCTGAGAGAACAGAACGAGCAGGGACTGATTTGAGTTCATGCTCAGGACAAAGGCTTTTTTACATAGTCATTTTAGTAGTATAGTGTTGAATAATACAAATAAATTATGTTAATAACTGACAATTAACGTAAAAGTTAATTTACCTTGAAGAAATAGTTTTTTGGGGGAATACATGTATTGTCTTTCTTTCTGAGGGTTTATTGAGAAGATCAAATCACTTTAGTGTGCATGCTAAATATAAATAAATCTATATTATCTAAAGCTAATTGGCTGCTGGCTCTAACTCCATATTTAGTGAATAGACATGACAGTCCTTTACTTTTCTCATCCAGCACTTGGCGAGAAAGTGAATAAGCACACGTACCAAAATGTTGCAACTGTTCTAACATGTCATAATATAACATCCATAACTTCACTAGAAGTTTTAGTCCGTGTACACGGTGACAGCGTGCGTGCTGGTCAGGACTGGTAAATGAAACTGTTGAAACACGAGAGACTGGCTTGTGCTGAGTAGGGATGCAACGATTACAGATTTTGTTGGTACGATTATAGTCAGAGGAATAATCACGGTTTCAAGATTATCATGATTATTATGCATTAATTAATTTAACAACACTAGTAATTACTTAAGTAGGTTTTTAATATTACATTAACAATTATAAAACTATAATATTTAAGTATTATTATTAATATAAGAGGATATTAACTTTATCTCCCAGGGGAAATTGTTATTGGGGAGGGGAATAAACTGAACTGTTGTCATCAACTCTCATCCACATGTATAAGTTTTAGTGAAAATGATGATGAATGTTCAATGATGAAAATTGAGAACATGTCTCATGCAGCGTTATTAATAACTGAAATGCAGGTAATTGGTAGCCCACAGTTCTGGAAGTTTATAAGCTCCTGATGTTCTGTTAGTGTTTTACACCTGCAACATTTTCTCAGCACAGACAGGAGGAAGCAACAGGATGTTAAATGTTCAGTGACTGAAGGTCGGCAGAGGACAACGTTCTTCCATAAAGAACCTTTCACAAAAGAAGTGATTTGCACTGTGTGGAAGCTGGGTTCAGCGCAAAAGTTCAGCTAATTTGACTGCTGCTTGCGTGCGAGCTCGTCAAGCTTTGGCGTGGCACAAGCCATTGAAAATAGGCCTCATAGCGCAGCGGTGCTGTCGGTTACACCTGCTTTGTTTGTTTATGTTGTACTGAAAGCTCGATCTCAGTGCGACAGCATTGATTGTAAGTGTCACAATTATATTTAATTCCCCAACAACCTGCCACATTATTTAAGTTATTATGTATTACCTTTACTTACTTATTTTAAAACAATTGTAAAATGGGTCGCCAAATTTACTTGGGCAGCTGTTAATCTACCTGGACGGCCCGCCCAAGTAAACCCTATGTGTGGGAAACGCTGATTAATTAACCGTGACGTTTTAAAGCACGGTTAATAGTGAAATCCAGCAATCGCTACATCCCCAGTGCTGAGCAATATCCCATTCAGTCAGCTGTTTACCCCAACCCCTTGTAAAATGTAGCTTTTCCACTGCAGGCTATATAAATCCATCTCGCCTGATGTTAGCAGTAAGATTACTGGCAGCTAAAGTTCAGGAACAGCGTTAAGATTAAGTACTGTAAAATAATCACAACTTCTAAGCCTGCAGATATTCAATTTCTGATTAGGGCTGTACGTAACGATTATTTTTCAAGTCAATTAATCAAACGATTATTTTTTCAATTACCCAATTAATCTAACGACTAATTTTCTGTATTCTAAAAGGAAAAAAGTTGCCTATTACTCGATTAACATACCAATTTATCCAAAATAAATATCAAAAACATTCCTAATAAATAAATCTATATTTTAATCATCCTGATGAAGCACATTAGAATAATGTGTGTGTATATATATATATATATAAAAAAATAAGAATAGCAGCAAATCTTAAAATGAATCAAATTTCCACGCCATTGATGTGTTGTGATAACAACAATAACAGACATTAATTATTAGGCTACTTTACTTAAAACTTTTAATGTTTTTGACATGGATTAATTTCAATATTGAGTACTGCAGTATGATAATCAAATGTTTCTGCATCAGTGTCGGGCAAAGAAAACAATTGAAAGGATTCACAGACTGTACAGACAGTCACAGATCGTCTGTAATGTTAGTTTCAGCTGTTTTCTCGCTCATATGTGGCCGTTAATTAAAACAGAAAATATGAAACGGCCGAACGTTCGATGTCTTGAGGTGTAACGTTATGCTACAATGACAGCAGCGGGGCAAAAATTACTTTTAACATGAAAGCGATTAAGAAATACTACGTGTCCTTGTGCTGATGATGTGCCATGCTCGTGTGGCGACAGAAAGTAAATAGGATTTGCGGTGCTGCCGTCAGTGCTCCAGGATACTTTCGCTCACGTGTTCATGCTGCTTCACGTATTCGTGGACAGTTGTGCTGCAGTGAAGCTTTTCTCAGATCACAGAGACTGTCTGTCTAAAATACTTCCAAACTTTAGCTTGTCCGGGGGAATCCTGCCAACACTGGATCGACTATGTTGACGAATTGCCCGAGCCCTAAATTCCTGTTTATATTATCGGTCTGCAGCTGATATTGTTTCATTTAAAAATGTCAGCTTTAACGCTGAATCACAACTACTACTACTTTTACAGTGAAGAAAGAAGTCAGTGTCAGGATGGAGTAAAGAGTTTGTAAAGGCACATACCTGTGTTTGACTCATAGCGATCTCTTCCTGGACCTAACACCAATGAGAATAATGAAAATGATGTCATGTTATACTCTGAACAAAATATAAAAATAACAATGTGTAGTAGTAATATTAAGTGATACAGTACTGCTGCATTTCATATCATATAATACATCTCTCTACACAGTGAGAGAGAGAGAATAAACACATGTTTTAAGTGAATTGGACACCCTGTCATAAATACGAGGTTACGTCTCAAGTCTCCAGTGAGACAATGTGCCATTTGTGCTTTGTTTCCAGATACTGCTTTATACTCAGTAGCGACTATTCAGGACACCTGTACAATCTACTGCAATTCTGTACAACAGGTTCAGTTTCTGACCATTTTGTCAGGAATGTGTAAATTCAGTTCTGTTTATTACTAAGCCTATAGTTCAAGGTGTTGTTACACTGAAAGGTGATTTTGCTCTCCCTGTTTATATATGAGTAGGGCGGAATATTAAACACATCTGAATATGATGTAGTCC